CGCCCCCCGCGCCCCCGCCTGAATCCGCGCCTGCATATTGTCCCAAAAGTTAAAAATTTCTATTTAAAAAAAAATCCTGCCTTAAAATTTGTGGGGGTTTTTTCATTATCTTATGAAGGCCAGTTAGTTATACGTCAGCTTGTACACCTAAATTTGGCCAATCATAACAATCATCTGTCTTAAAAATTTTTCATAGCATCTTGTTTCATCTGTCGCAGCAAATATACCCAACAGCTGAAATAAGAAATAAGAATAATTTACTTTACCATTGAGCTCCGTCCCAGTGTTCATGGGGATGGACGTCTGTGTCTTCGGCAGGCGTAGGGCAAACAGAACTGGCAGCGTTGCGAGGCAAGGGCTCAAACATGTACGGCTGGAAGCCTTCTACACCAAACCAAGCTTCTGCCACCCAGGCGTCCTCTTCCTCCCCTAAATAAAAAATGTATGACGGAGGAGACGCATCCACACAAAACTTTCCCCCTCTTGCAGGTTTCTGACAGTTCCTTGACAGAGTAGTTTCTAAGTCAAAATTTAGTGCTACTTGACCCCAATGTAATTTCCCATTGGGAACCTACTAGATATAAGTTGCTAACTGGTTAGCAAGATGCTTCAGAGACACCGGCCATAACCAAACTTGCTTGCGAACGTTCCGCCACAACAATCTTGTCCCCTTGATAATTGACCAATCACATTCACTTTATTCATGTAAAGTTGGGCACCATCGGGAGAATTCGGAAATGCAACCGTTGGAACAGCCGCTTCCCTACGACTTTAAAAAATATCAACAGAAATTGCCTTTTTATAGATGCATAGAGTTTATTCTGTGCCATTATTAACGATGCTCTGTAGTGCATAGATGCCTGCCACACACATACAATCGGTCTTGTCACCCTCTACTATATATATAATGACACCATTATCGGAATATGCCATGAGGTGCATCACACTTTAAGTGAATTTTGCTTAGGGCCCCCAAATTCCTTGAAACGGCCCTGCCTAAAATGCCACAAAAGATTGAAACGTTCAAGGGGGCCGAATACTTTTGCAACTAACTGTAGTTAAATGTGATGAAAAAGGGTTAAAAAGTAAAGAATAGAAAGATCAGGTTTCTTTTAGTGGCATTATAACATGTTTTCTAATCTAACAGAAATGCTTAAAAGAAAGAAAAACAACCTTAAGGATTCATATTGTGAAATAAGAGTAGAAACAAGTTTAGCGGTAGTTGAGGTTATGCAATATCAAATCTGTGAAAGACAGGAAGGCAGTCTTTTTGCAAACCGACACATAAAAACTGATTTTCTGGTCAGCAAAAATATTCCTGAATCAGCAGTTATATTTAGTAGAGTACGGGTTTCGCAATAAGCTTGTGGGAAGAAGAAAATATTTTAAAATGTTTTGAAATGATTATTGCAAAAGAAACTAGTTTCATGTTGCTGTAGATGAAACTTAAGTCAGAGCCTAGTTTGCTCAAAAAAACATATTACTACAAAATCTAGCTAAATATGTCAGAGAAATATAGGGTAATAGGTTAACTTCCTAATCCATTTAATTTGCAGGTTATGGAAAAATTCTAAATAAGACAAACCAGATGATGAAGACTTGTTTTGATCCAATCTTTGTTTTTTTAATCTTCACTGGTTGAGGAATAATATCAAGGCAAAAACATACATAAACAAAAAATAAATAAACATGAAGAACCCCAGATGAGTGGAAATAATAGTGTGATTGACTTAGCCTTTTAGCCTGTATGAACCTAATCATAATGCAGGCAATTAAAAACTTCAAATGTTGACCTTACAGTTTTAACCAGAGCAATAAGGGCTACCTAAATTCTGATTATTATATTATATTATATTATATTTTTTAATACATTTTAAAAAGATAAGGAAAAAAAACAATATGGGTAAAAACAGTTTATTGAAAGTAAGCAGCACATATTCAGCAAAGTAACACATTTTATATTTTAATTTATTATCCTTGTGCAACAGTTTTGGTTATAAGCTGTATCCTAAATATGTGTTAAACAACAAACATTATTTTATGACAGGACGACTTTAAAGCATTAAAATCCTGACTCATAATTCCCCAGTTTTTGATAAAGGAGACACATCTTTGCTCCTCCTTCTGACCGTGTATCAAGGTTTTGCGTAAGTGCTCACAGAATATTCAGCTGGTAGCTGCAGAAAGTAGATTTGACTTCATGCCTCTCCGCCTAAAACCAGCTTTTTTGGAGCAGTTCTTTGACTTTAGCTTTTCTCCCTAAAGAGGTACGTTTTTTTTTTTGTATCATCAATTAAATTCTGAATGGATGAAATTGCTCTACTGATCATACCATGTAACTTAACTTCACTTTCATACTTTTTATGTTAAAGGTAATGATAATCCACTATAGACTTTTTCAGGTTGAAATTACATAAAGCACCTTGATTTTTTTTTGGCCACACTGCTGAATGCTTTTCTTCTCCAACAAAATCTAACAATTTTTCATTTTCTCTGTTAGGTCCTTGGATAATTCATCCCGAAAAAGATGAGCTTTGAGTACCGAGCCTCCAAGATAACTGATATGGAAATGACCAATAGTGAAACACCCTACACAAATTTTTCTGATGGAAGAAAGAAGCTCCTCCATTCAGGTACAGAAACAACCATAATTTTGATTCAAGCCTTTGCTCATGAAAAGATACCGACACACAGGATCTGATGTTCCTGCTTTTATCTTACATGTCATAATAATAAATAATAATACTAATACTATTAATAAATAATAATAAATGACTCTCTTCACTTCCCTTGTATTAATCATCTAATTAACAAATAACTTGCTGAATAGTTCTCAGAGGCAGATGGAGGAGCAATTAAAAGCTCCAATGCACATTTGCAGTAACTTTTAAAAGAATATCTACAAGTTTTTACATACTGTAGTTGAAAGTTTGAATTGTTTCTGTTTAAGTTTCAATTTGTAATTTCCTTTCAAAGGAAAAGTTGGTCTAAAGCAGTGTGTCCTGCTTGTGTGCTTGTGTAGCCCCTTTCAGTCAGAAATACTGATGATTGTCCAAAAGTGAAACATACAATAACTGATTATAAAATAAAAACTTTTTTACTTAATCTTTTAATTTAAGCAATTCTATTCTTAGCCATTTTATTATACCTATCTCAAATAAAAAAATATTAACACAAGATGCCTGGCAGTTAGGAAGGAATCGAAATAAATCCAAAATAAAATCATATTTTAAAACAGTATTTATAAAACTGGAGCTCGTCTGAGTAACTCCCTTATAATCACATTTAAACTTGATGAATTTAAAAACAAATTCAGAACAGAAATTATAGTAGACTGACTTCAATAGTTTTACTTTGTTTTCATCAAGACACCTGAGCTGCTTTGATGAGATCAGTGGGAAAAACCGCTGATACCAGGCTGTTTTCCACATCACGTCTTTACCCCTGCTTGGTTTTGATCAGAGCTGAAGGTGAACTCAAATAAAAATATACTTTTTGGTTAGTGAAAGTTGTTTGATGTTCTTTCAATTGGGTCCTCACAAAAAGTCCTATTTTATTTTACTACCTAAGACATAAAACACTTTAATGTACCCCTTGTGATGCATTCACGGACCACTAGGGGTATGCGTACCCCAGGTTGGAATCACTGCTCTGAAGGACAAAAATAGATGTTTGACCAGGGTCATTATGTGAAGCATCGTTTAAAGGGAACTGAATTCAAAAGCTTTTCACACTTTTATTGTTAAAAGATTATTATAAGTATGAGAAAAACCTTTTTACCATGACCTGTCTTTAGCTTTTTCTGAAGATTATCAATGGGCCAGAATAGGACTCTGAACTCCTAACTTTTATAGTACCTCCAATTAGAAGAAATATGTTGGTAAATCAAAATGATTGCCTTTAACACGTCTGACAAATAGGTTAAAGAAACATACATTTTTCTTGTTTTAATGATTTGAGAACATCAAAAATATGTTTTCCTCCCAACTGACTGACTGTATAATGTTTTTATATGATTTTGCAACACAACCCAGTAATGCCACAACTTCCTCAGATCACTTCATTAAATCCATGTTTCTGCTTCTGCTTTGCTTGCTATCTTTCAGTGTATGCCTTGAGAAACAACAGCTTTAAATTAGTTACTATTGGCCTTGGACTGGTCTGCGTATTTCTGTTGGTTTGGATCATAGGTCAGAGTGTTCACTGTGAGTTACACTTTATATACATTTGTCAAGATTTCACACTGTTTGATATAAAAAAAATGGACTGATTTGTGTTCCTTTTATGTTTTTTTTTAATTCTTCGAGCAGATGAAAATATTAAACAAGACAATCAGAACAAATTTAAAGGTCTCAATGAAGTCAATGAGAAGCTACAAGCAAACCTAAAGATCGCACAACAAGCGAAAAAGAATGTTGAAGAGGGTTGCAAGCAGACCAAAGACAGAGTTGATTCCTTATCAAAAAGAGTATACCAACTACAGGCCGATAACAGAGTTCTGTCAAATGAGAGAGATGAACTTAAGGCTAAGCAAAGTCAGGCAGAGGCTACCAGCAGTAGTTTAAATAAAGAGCTAGGAAAGCTAAAAGACAGTATTGCCCAGGTAGAGCAACAGAGAAATGACTTGAATGCAGCCCAAATCAGCCTACAGACAAAATATGATGCAGTTGTCAAAAGCAGAAAAGAGCTACAGGCCAATTATGACACCGTAATTACTGAGAGGAACAATCTACAGAACAAATTCAACAATGTTACCAGATCAAGGGATCAGCTCCAGCTCAGTTACAATGATGTGATCAAGAAGGTAGAGGAGCTACACGACAGATACAACTTCTCTATAAGTGAGAAAGACAATCTCTCAAGCAGCAACCAAAACCTGACAACTGAGTTAAGAAAATTACAAGACCTATACAGCCTACTAAAGAAGGGAGAAAACGACTTGCAGAGTTCATATGAATCGGTGATGAGGGAGAAAAGCGAACTTGAGAAGAGCCTTAAGAACGTTACCACAGAGAGAGACCTGCTTAAAGCGAAAGCTGACAACCTTACGGCTGAACGAGAAATACTGCTGGGGACTGTCAACAAACTCAATGCAACGATTGAAGGTGGGACAAACAATCAATAAATCCTTTTACTTTATTTTTTGGAATATTTTTGTGCTTTGTAATGACATCTCCAAATATTTTAATTCCATTTCACCATGGAATACTCTTAACATCTTTTTAGTTGGTGTATTTTCAGATTAGATAGACTAACAAACATGTTCAACTTTGTTCTTTGTTTCGATCACAGAGAAGAACTGCACTGCTGGCTGGAAGAAGTTCCAGTATAGCTGCTACTTCCCTTCTACAATAAAAAAAACCTGGACAAAAAGCAGAGAGGACTGCCTGAACAAAGGAGCAGACCTAGCAATCGTGAACAGCAGAGAAGAAATGGTTTGCTCATTCAATGTACTATGAAAGTGTAAAAGAGGCAATTAAAATATTCCTTTTGAAACATCTAAACAAACTTAGCTTCGAGATTGAGGTGTTAAAGTCTGACTTAAGCTGTCCAGGCAACTTTTAAAAATGCAATGTAGGTGAACCAGTTAAGGTATCTTGATTTTGTCAACTTGTGAAACTTGTGCGTTGCAGCTTATATACTGCATGTAAGTTTTACAGTTTTCTTTTTATTGTTAAAGCCTTGATAAATAAGTTAAAGAGACAAACATTATCACTTGTTTTTGGATGCAGCCCTTTGAATTCAATTGTGAAAAATTATATGATTTGTTTTAAGTAATTCCTGATAAAACTCTTAGCCAAGACAGATTATAAAAGTGAATTGAAACAAACAGTGGCCTCATACTTCCCAAATATCCACAACTGTTATGGGAATTACTCAAGTGATAATTCAGCTGATTTTCCTTCGTCTCCCTAGAATTTCCTCAACACTTTGTACAGCAGTGACAAAGAAGTGTGGATCGGTCTTACTGATGGAGGAGTGGAAGGGCATTGGAAGTGGGTGGATGGAACACCACTGACTTTAACGTAAGAAGCTTAACTTTTTAATCCAAAAATATACAATATTTTCTTGAGATTTTGTTCCTTTTGTTGATATGTCTTTGTATTTCTTAGATTCTGGGCTAAAGGGCAGCCCAATAGCCATCAAGGGAGGGACCAGGACTGCGTGGAGTTCTGGCACCGTGCAACAGGAAGTGGTGACTGGAACGACGAGAACTGCAGTGTTGAACAGAACTGGATCTGTGAGAAGTAGCTTTTCTCTGCAGCATGCACCAGCACTGATTTGATTTAAGAAGTATGATGTATGTTGAATATGTATCTTTAACTATTATGTGATTGTTTATTTTTTTTATATTTGATAAATGTTTTTAGATGTTTTTCCTCATTGATCACAGCTCAATTGGACTGTATTTTTTAACATTTCCCTATTTCCTATCAAATTCTGCTGATTTTCTTTTCCGAAATATGTGAATTACTATATTACAGACTGAAAGCAACTTTTTGATTAACCAGATACAAAGTCATAAATAAATGCTCTTGCTTATGTCAGTGCCATATTCACTTAAAAACTACATTAGGACTACATACAACTACTTTAAGAAAGTGAGGATTGTGTATTTTTTTTTAAAGCAGAAGAGATGTTTCAATTTAGCCTTGAGCAGATTTCTACTGCAAAGAACATGTTATTTTAATCATTGTATGCACAACGGTTGCCAAAAGAAACACTTAATAGTCTTTTATGTATTTTATAAACATTAACTGGACTTCAGCAGTGTTTAAAGTGCTACTTTTCATATTTGGGAGGAATAACAGTGGCTTTTTTGTAAAGTTGAAATAGGGTTTTGGATATACTATGTCTACTCATGAAAAATGCTTTATGTCTTTGTTTTGCTGTATCTACAATTGCTGCCCCATGCTTCCTATATTAAAGCCTACAAAGATTTCCAAGAAACTAAGTAACCCTGACGCCAAATATGTCAGGGGTTGTGGCTGGGTTTATTTCCTCATCCTTCAGCTTCCTCCTACAGAGAGTGACCCCTGTGATTTGCTCCTGATCTGGGTCATGAGATCTGGTGATAGTGGGGCTTGAACTGAGAACCTCAGGGTTCCAAGCACTATACCCTAACCACTAGGCTGACACCCACCTAACTTAAAGCTACTGTAGGATGGCCTATTGGAAGCAATTTTGGAATTAAAAGGGGGCTCACAGGAGGACACAAACATTCCACAAGAGATGGAGGATCCAGCAAGTCTGAGATGGAAATCCATACTAGCTGTCCTCCAACATGAGCAAGATCTCATCAATTTGACTCAGTTCAGGTTGTAATGTGAGTGTGAAGGATCCTCCTTGCGTTCACTCCTATGGCCAGAACCAATAAACTTCCTAGCAGACATGAATGCTAAATCTGCGGTGACTGCAAACCTTCCTTCTTTTTTCTTTTACAAATCTTTTATTATTTTTTGGTGGGCGGGTGGGAAAGAGTAGCTAGGTTTTTACTGTGACAGCAATGTTTTTGTGCTTTTTATACAGGCCAGGCGCCTCCGGGCGCATTGCTGCCCCTCTCAGGACACTGCCTTGGGACATTTCATGGGCATTACGCTGCCATGTGTTATACATAAATTAGGGGTAACCAATTAAAAATCAGCGGGGTCCGAATAAAGAAAATCATCAACCAGTAAAGGTCATTTTTAATTATAATCTGTTACTTTAAATACATTTTTAATTCTGAAATAAAATGAGGTTTTTATGCATCCATGTTATACATTTAATTCTTAAATAAAAAATGTAAAAAAGAAAAAAAAGAAAATTTTAAATTTTTAAAATATAAAGTGTTTTTTCAAAGTAGAGAACAAGAATTGTTCAGTTTGGTATATAGACAATTTCCTGATTCACATATTTTGTAAAACGCCTAAACTGACCATTTGTTTTTTCTGTTTTCTTTTTTATGGCTTAATGAGAGAAGTTGGCTTTACACTGCTCTTTAGGCTTTTAAAACTGGGTTTGAATTGTGACAAAACCATTCTCAAGCACATATCACACATATCAAGGTGCTCATTTATGAGCCTCAATCGATATTCATTTTTGATTATGTTTATGGTGGAAAATCCTGCTTCACAGCAGCAGGTTGAGCCAAACATACTTAAAATGTGCAAAGTTATCTTTGAGCACACAATTTCACTTTTCTGTCACCAGTTCACTGCGGTTCTTCCAGCATCCACACTTTCTCTGCTTCCTTTTTCTCATCGTCTTCTTTCACTTTCCCATCGCCCGGCTTGCCACAGATCTGCCTGCTGTGTCTAAAAGTAGATAGCTGCAGCAACCCAGACTGACACAGCTCATTGGCTAATTTGTATCATGTGTAGCATGGTCCTGGACGCTCCAGAGGGCTTTACCATATTAGCAGGAGAAGTGGCGCAAGTAAAGTTAGACACAACATGCGGTAATTTATAAATGTTTAAATGAGGTTGGGTCCAGATTAGCCAGCAGGTGGGTCCAGATCCGGACGGCGGTTGGACATAAGTTCTGGACTTATTATAAGGGGCGCCATATTGGGTGAAAAGCTAGGATGACGATTCTAGGGGCCCTTGTTTGAGGGGGGTCAATAGAAGAAGAAAAGATTAGTTTTATACATATTTTTTTAAATATAAAAAGAAAAATCCATCAGGAAAATAAATAATATTCATGTTCTCCCTTATTTTTCAGCAGTAAACAGTGAAACAAAAAGTGAATATATTGACCCCCCCCTTAAATTGCAGTAAATTGTTTGGTCCTCTGTTCAGGGCTTAAATGCCACCTGAAGTAATTTCAGATAGTGATAACTAAAGAAACAAATGAACAATAACATTTGTAAATAAGCAGCAGTGTGGAAAAAAAACGTCCCCAGCTGAAAAATGCAGCGCCCCAAAGCCTGGGTTTCAAAAAGGAATGGAAAGGAAGGAGAAAGAGGAGAGAAGGAGAAAGGCGTCCAATACAGTGACCCAGTTTCCCCCCCTCTAACTAAATAGTTCAAATAAGATAACAAATAGTAACAAATAACCCATCTGCTGGATACAACTAGCAGTTCTCCCTCAATGTCGGAGGGGGATCACTTAATGATGCCACCCAGCTAGGTCCTTTCTGAAACGAAACATGACTGCAAGTTTTTTAATTTTATATTATTGTGTTTTCAAAAAATAAACTAGGATTAATGCAGCATTTATTGAGCATATTGTGTGTCTGCAAATAACACAGAGGCCAGGCAACTTAGCCTGAAGCTCACAGGGCTGAGAGTTAACATTTACCAACCACACTAGACTACAGGAAAACACTGTAGTTAACATTAGCCAAACACTAGTAGATATTTAGCAGGATATTCACATTAAATTATCATTAAACTATCAGTCTCCCTCCATCATCATGTAAACAGATGATCCACCAGCAGCCCATTTCTTCAACCCCCAACCCCCTCCCTCTCCCACTGACAGTTGAGCAACATTGCATTTTCTATCTATCTATCTATCTATCTATCTATCTATCTATCTATCTATCTATCTATCTATCTATCTATCTATCTATCTATCTATCTATCTTTTTTTAAATGACGAAAAATGTAAAATCAAATGGCCTCCAGTTGTTTATACTTCATCCTGGACAGCTGCAGTGCATTGGGTAGCCTCCATCAGCCTGTATTAAAATCTGTATCAATATTAAAAAAGTTGAGTTAGATTTTTATATTCAGATAAAATTACAAACATTAAAAGACATCTGTAAATCTTGAGCATTCTCATGAGCAGCCTGAAGCAGCCACATAAGAAATACTTGTTTTGTCATTACACGCACCTAATAGGAATATATTTTCACAATCCTAAACCTATTTTTATTAATGTGTACATAGAAACAGTTTTTTTGTTTTAAATAAGCTGTTATTATTTTGATAGGATGATAATTGTAATTTTTTTTTTCTGTTCTGACTCTCGAAGGAGGTGGTCACATTTTCTTGCTGCTCTGCAACTCCCTGATCTGTCCCTGCTTTGCTGTGTTTTGTCTTTTCTGAGCCCTCTCTTCATATTACCCGAATGCAAATAATGGATCTGGTCAGCTGGTCTCTCAATGAAATTGATCGAATTTTCTCAACTGGAAGACAGGTAAAAGTAGGGTGACCAAACGTCCGTATTTCCCGGGACATATCCGTATTTCACGTCCTGTCCCGGGCGTCCCGGGTTTTTTTTAGAAAGTGAGGAAATGTCCTGATTTTTTCGACGCTGCGTGTGACGTAATCCCTGAGCCGCGTCAGTGCGGGCAGCCCTGCTCTTAATCAGAGGCTCTGTTCGAAAACCTAGGACGCATCCTCCAAGGACGCGGTCTACCTAGACTGGATCCTTTGAAGTCCTTGACAATAAGGAGGCCGGAAGAGTTTTGGCTGTAAATTCGAACAGGTCCACCCTTCGGCGGATTTACCGCCGTATGCCCTGTTGCTTAGCAACCGTGTAAGTTGACACACAAAGCAGGAAAAGAATGAATACTGAGGTTTTCAAAACGGTTTGTTTATTTATTTATTTTTTTAAAAGTTAAAGTGAACAAAGACTACACTCACAAGAATCCAGAGTGGAATAAAGGTTCCAACCACCGGGAGCAGGAACAAATAAAATCAAATGTAATGATAGAAACCTTAGTCAGTTAAATAACCTGCTGCTGTCATTCTGCACATCTCTGATGTTGCTGCTATTTTCAACTTACTGTAAAAATGTCCATAGCTGCATATTGGTTATTAATTCTCCAGTTTTACATTGTTAAAACAATTTACAGAATTTTATTTTTTATATTTTAACTCTTCCCTATTATGTTATTCTTATACATTTTTCTAAGGTCCACATTTGTGTGACCATTTTCAATAATCTTTCTGCTGTAAATCTGCCCATTGTGGGACAATAAAGGGATTCCATAAAAGGGTTAGAAATATATAAGTAAATCTAAACAATGTATCTACAAAATATATCTGCAAAATCTCTAATATTCAACAACAAAAAATACTTAGTTAAGCATATTGTGCAGAACAACAATAAAAAAATTAAACTCCTATCAGATTTATAGTCCCCACCCTGCAGATATATTAGAATCTGTCCTTAAATTACAGCCAAACCCATTTACACAGTAACAGATAAAAACCTTTAGATAAATCAAACATTACCGCCACATATCTGACTCTATAACCATTAAAACAACTATTTTCATTCATTTCAGACGGAACTATTCACAGAGTTGTATTATATTAAACTAAACTTTCAATTTTCACCACTGTTCGGGGCCAAGTAACATTTCCTCTGATCACGGAGCAAATCCCGATGATGAGACATTATTTATTTCTTAAGCATTTTCAATAAGTACATTTTGAATAAAATTATCGTTTGTTATTGGAGTTATTGCTGTTGACTTTTACTGAAAAGCATTTTTAATAAATTTAGTCTTAAATATAATGTTATTGTAGGATTACGTAGGCCTACGTTAAGCGAGTGCATGCCACAGACATCTCTATGTCCTGGTTTTCCCAATTTTCCCAAATGAAAATATGGTCACCCTAGGTAAAAGGGGACCCGTCCTGTCCTGCCCGGACATAATTCATGGGATACAGCATGGACTCATGGAAGGCTTGGAGGATGGCGCTTTTTACATTGTTGTCATTGGAGGATATCGAAGATGTATGGATTTTTAGATTTATGATACTCAGATTTCTCCTGTTTGGATGTGGAGGATACCTGATGTATCTACAATTACAGAGGATGTTGAAGGCAATTTGGGCATTGATCAGGCTGCCGGCAGTGGTTGATGTGCTCACAAAGGCTGTGAATGAGCAGGACCGGGAGATGAGCTGTATGCTGCGTGCAAGTGAAAAAAGGTTGGCTGAGATGAGATGGGATAATATCTTGGATGTCCACGCTCGGTTCAAGGTGGAAAAGCCCGACAAAATTGGAATATGGGATTCGCGTCGTAGTGCCAGCTTTAAGAAAACATCAAAAAAGACTCAAGACAAGACCCAAACTGATGGAAAATTCCTGTGCAGTCTGTTCTCAAAACAATAATTGTTATTTTGGATCAAAATCTCCACTGGATGTTATGGTGGAAGGGCACAGAAGAACTGCTTCCCCCTCCCCTACACCCGAATATCTGTGGATGTGCCAAAATAGTAGTGCCGGTTGATAAACCTACATCTTATTAAGGACAATGGCTTGTGGACAGAGTTCATGGACAAATTTAACACACAACACACAACTAATGTCTCTAATGTCATATTGACTTTCATGTGGCTCCAGCCTCCGATGTTTGAAATTTTTGTATCGGGTTACATGTGCTTTTCTTG